TCGATCAATATGCATTTTTTTTATCGATAAGCTTTTTTTCTATATCGTCCAGCCGTATTATGATCCATTCTAATTGTCATTTTTTTATGTTTTATTTTACCTTAGAGTTTCCAGTTTGCAATTTTCACTTCTCAGTCCAGATGACAGCAGCTCAATTCCAGAATCTTGTAGCTTGTTGTCAATCAGGTCCATCAGCCTCAAATTAGACGACTGGGAGCTGAGCACCAAGGCCAGAATTTCACAGCTTCTCCCTGTGAGTTCACAATTATTTAACCTGAAAATAGATACATAGAAATAAGAGAAAATCTGATTAACATTACATGAAATAATTAGTATTAAACAAGACAAAGGAAGCTACCAAATAAATCAAGTGGATTATGTAGAACAAGCAGCAAAATATTATTTTGACATGGTTTGTTATTTGCTTTTTTATTTTGCGAAATAAAATAAAAAAAAGCAATATTTGGCATTTATTCAGTTTAAAAATAAAATAAAATTAGAAAAAATACTATGCCTCTTTTTTATTCTAGCTATTTAAAGAGATGCTTTATATTTCGTTATTTCAGAAACTAGACCTGGTTGAACCAGAAATGAAAGTCTGAAAGTTAGGTTTTTAATCTGTATTAGAATGCTGAACGCCTTCCATACTGTTCTAAAATATTTGGCCTTTACCTCATTGCCTGTTTTTCTTCATTCAATCTTACTCAATTTCATTCAAAGTTATTTAATTTTTCCCAAACAGAAACTGAACATAGCAGTTTCTCATTGGCAGTTTTTAATGAGTTGTTAGATGTTGATGCTGTAGGCAGGAAGGATTTCTGTAGCGGTCTGTCTTCCACCGCATCAGGAGAAGCCTTCTGACTGAAGACACTTTGTTGCTGTTTAACAGTCTGATGAAGAGGATGCTGACTGTTGTCAATAATCGTCTTCACTTTATGAAGTGAATAATCTGCAGAGGTTCTAGAGGAGTTTAAAGAACGGGGCTGTCCTTCTTCATTGGCTTATTGAGCTTTTTTCAGTCATTTACTCCGATGCTGTTGAGCCAGCAGATGATGGAGGAAGAGATCAACTCTTCACAACAGACTGATCTTGCTGCAAACACTGAAGGGCAATACACTTGCTAAAGAAGTCCAGTCTGCTCTGTACTTTCTTGTAGACAACTTCCAATTTGTCGTCCAGGTGAAACCCAAGGTATTTATAGTCCTCCAGGACCTCCACCTCTTCTGCTGTGATGTTAAAATGATCAATCTGTTTTATTTCTTAAATCTACTTCTGTCTGGTATTAGAAGTCAGAGGTATACAGAGTAAAAGTAGCAGTGTAGCAGTGGTGGTTGGCTAACAGAGGGTGCTAGGGCGCTGCCCCTCCCACCCAATGATCCATAAAAAACTAATAAAAATTAAATTATAAAATGTAAATATTTCAAAATATATCAATGTAATTTTTCAGCTGTGCAAGATAAATATTTAATCTTTAATGACGAGTAAAGCTGTTTCATTCGTTTCTGGATTGGTGACATATTTCCGCCCTGGGGCCCAAAAATCTTTGCCCTTAGACTCTTGTTAAAAGTTGTACATGCACAGTAGCTCCTCTTCAATGCAAAAGGAATGGATATCCCGGGGTGAAGCTCTCCTGCGCCCAGAGCTGACAGGAACTTTCACTATCACCTGGAATTTCCTATCGTTAGCGGCTATGTCTAGCTATTACTCGCACTAAATGTTCGACTTAAGTTTGATAGTTTTCCTTAAATCTTAGGGTTATGGGGCTTGGTTTACAAGCCAAATTTTAGTTAATGGTTCATATTATTAACTAATGACAACTTTCTGCATTTGGAACCTTTTTTGGGTTCTGTGTTAAGACGAGAGCTTGTTTTGTATACAAAACCTGAGTTGAATGTAACGGCATAACTTGAGCATCTTATTTAGATTTTTCTTAAGCATTTTAATAAGCACTTAAATTCTGAACACTGTGATGATTTAAATTAACTCAATGAATGATAAATCAATGAAGAATGTTTGATCTGATATTTTGGAACTTAATGCATTTTTCTTATATCTCAACAAAATGTTTTCAACTGAAGGATAAGCTATTTGCTGAGTGAGATTTTCTGAGATTCAGCTTGACTCTAAATCCGGCAGTTCTTTTTGAACTGTTTTATTTGTGATAAATTTTTTTATTAGAGAGAGAAAACAGTTCTGACCTGAGAGTTTCCAGTTTGCAGTTTGAGTTGTTCAGCCCAGGAGAAAGCAGCACCACTCCTCCATCCTGCAGCTTATTGTTACTCAGGCTCATCGTTCTCAGATTACAGAACTGGGAACCAAGAACTGAGACCAGAAATTCACAGCTTCTCTCTGAAAGGTTACAGTTGTTCAGTCTGCAGAGACACAGGAGGAAATAATTAGAAAAATATGATGGATTAAAACAATTTTAAACAAGGTAGAGGAAGCTGCTGAATAGTTTAAAATCCAAAATTAATTTAATACATTTAAAAACCTAAAATTGTAAAAAGTAATTTAGAAAATGTTTGTTCCATGACTGTCTTTAGCTTTATATTATGTTTTTATTTGCATAAATTAAGCAGGAAAAAATCGATTATTTTTATAAAACCTCCAGCAGGTGTTTGTTATTTGAGAAACAATAGATGATGTTACTATACTACTGAGAGTGAACCAGATTTTAAGATCCAAAAATATTCCTCCTCTGAGGAAAAAGTAGTAAAATTAAAATATTGGTGGAAATTAAATTTAGGTTTTTCCTTTTGTTTTCTGACCGCAGAGTTTCTAGTTTGCAGTTTGGACTCTTCAGTCCAGATGACAGCTGCTCCACTCCAGAATCCTGCAGCTTGTTGTTACTCAGGTCCAAATATCTCAGGACAGCAGACTCAGAACCGAGAACCAAGGACAGAAATCCACAGCTTCTCTCTGAGAGGTTACAACTCTTCAAGCTGAAGAAACAGAGACAGATATGAGCATAAATAGTTTGAAATAGTTTAGATGGATTAAAAAGAGAATTTCAGTCTAGAACCAAAATGGAACTGCTTAGGATGATAATAATTAACAACTCATTACTAAAAACTAAAATGGCGAACCTTCCCTTTGACAAAATATGAGGTTTAATATGTATTAACAGATAATGAAATAAAAATTAAACAAAATGTTAGTAAATAAATTAACTTTAGATATGTTCTAGTCTAAAATGCACAACAAAATCTTTTTTGTTTTATTACTAATAGATTGTTGTTGCTCAGTATATTCAGGACAATAGTTACTGGAGGTTTTAGCTCCTGGTTAAAAAGACAAAGATTGTCAATACTTACATAACTTTGTTGGANCATACACATAGTTGTTGCTCAGTATATTCAGGACAATAGTTACTGGAGGTTTTAGCTCCTGGTTAAAAAGACAAAGATTGTCAATACTTACATAACTTTGTTGGAAGCTTTGACTACTGGCAGCAGCCTGAGAAAAATTTTCTCTGAAGCAGAGTATTTTCTCAGGTCAAAAACATCTAAATCTTCCCCTGATGTCACTAAGATGAAGGCCAGAGCTGACCACTGAGCAGGAGACAGTTTATTTGTGGAAAGACTTCCTGATCTCAGAGACTGTTGGATCTCCTGGACCAGAGAACGATCATTCAGTTCATTCAGACAGTGGAACAGGTTGATGCTTTTCTCTGCAGACAGATTCTCATTGATCTTCTTCTTGATGTACTGAACTGTTTCCTTATTGGTCTGTGAGGTTTGCCGTTTCTGTGTCAGCAGACCTTGAAGGAGAATCTGATTGGTCTGAAGGGAAAAACCAAGGAGGAAGCGGAGGAACAAGTCCAGGTGTCCATTTGGACTCTGTAAGGCCTGATCCACAGAACTCTGATGAACATACTTTAGAATCGGTTTCTTCAAATGTATAATCCACTTTTTTTGTTCTTCCATTAGATTAACTCCATCCTTGATGAAGGTCAGATGGACATGAAGAGCAGCCAGAAACTCCTGAACACTCACATGGACAAAGCAGAACACCTTCTCCTGGTTCTGGTACAGCCCTCTCTCCTCTCTAAAGATCTGTGTGAACACTCCTGAGTAAACTGAGGCTGCCCTGATATCGATGCCACACTCTGCCAGGTCTGATTCATAGAAGATCAGCTTTCCTTTCTGCAGCTGATCAAAAGCCAGTTTTCCCAGAGACTCGATCATCTTCCTGCTCTCTGTGGTCCAGTGTGGATCTGTCTCATATCCTCCATCGTATTTGACCTTCTTCACTTTGGTCTGAACCACCACAAAGTGGATGTACATCTCAGTCAGGGTGTTGGGAAGCTCTCCTTGCTTTTGGATCTTCAACATATCCTCCAGAACCGTAGCAGTGATCCAGCAGAACACTGGGATGTGACACATGATGTGGACACTTCTAGATGTCCTGATGTGGGAGATGATCCTGCTGGCCTGCTCCTCGTCTCTGAACCTCTTCCTGAAGTACTCCTCCTTCTGTTGGTCATTGAACCCTCTGATCTCTGTCACCATGCCAACACACTGAGGAGGGATCTGATTGGCCGCTGCAGGTCGTGTGGTTATCCAGAGGAGAGCAGAGGGAAGCAGTTTCCCCCTGATGAGGTTTGTCAGCAGAACATCCACTGAGGTGGACTCTGTAACATCAGTCAGGA